CAACAGTTTAATAACTATTATTTTTAACACTTGAATAATTCAAACTTATATATATACGAACGAAAACTGCAAAATATATAAATAAAGCGTGTCAATTTTCGACTCATTCTCAACATGCAGGATACGCTGTTACAGCGAGTTAGTTTTTGGTGGCCATGCATGCAAAAGTGGGCCGCTTATTTTGCTTACAAGTTACGTGGACGTATAATTATTGCTGTTACATAAACGTTCCGGTGTTCAAGAGCTGCATATATATAGCCGATAAAAATTGCGTGCTCATTATAATCGCCGATCACATGGCTTTATCACAGTCTCAAACCTTCAGACAAACATATCCACATTCCTCTCCCCCCCTTCGGACATCCTAAGACATTTTTCCTCTCCCCCCCTTCGGACATCCTAAGACATTTTTCCTCCCTCCCCCTTCGGACAGCAAAAATTTCCTCCGTGGGGGGGGGTATGGATCTTTTCTGGAACGACCCAATGCAGCGTGAAATACTATAATGTCCCACAGCAGATCCACCGTGGGATATTATAGTATCCCACGCTCACGCGTGACTTGTGGACACCACGCTCTGAAACAATATGGCGTTCGCGAGCTAGTGTTGTTTGTAATTTCGTACAGAAGATTTGATTTAACCAAAGATTTTCAAGACGTATGTTACCTTCAATGATCCAAAGGATACATGCTCAAATATTTTAAAGAGGAAACGTGATAAAAAAACTCAGGTATACATAAGAAATTAAAAATTGTATTCGCGGAGTTAATAATTCAGCAAGTTTTAAAGTTTATTCTGAACTTAGTGAGTTCTTTAAAGATGATGTCTACTCCTGTGCACATGCGCAAACTTTGTTTATGTTTTGAACTGCAATATTTGTAAAATTTGATATACTAACTGAATATCTAACACTTTTCTTGTTCGCTATACTTGTAAATGAATATAAACTCTATGTTTCAATTCAAAAAAGGTTCGAAAGATGCAAAATTTGGGCAATGTTTATATCTGGGGGTCCCCCTTTGTTATGAGCAGAACTGATGCGCAGAACGGTGTGGACATCATCTTTGACTTTCTGTATAATATATCATTTATATAGACCCTCCGCTCGGGGGATTCGGCGATATTTCCCTCAGTGATGATATTTTCCTCGGGGCAAAGCCCCTCGGAAAATATCATCAACCAATGGGTGTAAACAAATTAAACTCCCTCATGAGAGATTGTTGGAAAAGACAAGCGAATAACAAATCACAGCGCTCGAAAAACACTTGTTCAAAAACTACAAGACAACAATGTTCCTCCAACCCAAATCGTACAAATAACCGGTCACAAAAATTTGCAGTCAGTTAACAATTATAGCTCATTGAGAGAACAACAACAACAAGACATTTCTTCGATCTTGTCTTCGGTGCCGAATGTGGGTAACGCACGATCGTCGCTCTCTTCGCAGGAGACCATTTCGTTCAGTGTGAAGCAAGATGCTATTAATCCATCCTCGTCGCTTTTTCAGGGCAATTCCATCACAGGGGGCACGTTTAATATCCACATATCTAGCGCTTCGTCTTCTGCGTCGAACACAATGATAGGCGCTAGTCCGAAAGCTAAGAAACTACGACGACTGTTACCTCTTGAAAGTGATAGCAGTCAAGATGACAGCCAGGAAAAATGAACTGAAAACCGTTTGTTGAACATTATTTTTATTTACTGTATATAGTCGTCCTATACTGTTATAAATTTTGTTTGAAAGTTATACCGTTTTTGGCACTGTTTAACATATAAGTTGCATACATACACAATTTTTTCATTCCTGTATGAATTTTGTAATAAATTTGTTTGGATTTTATTCGTTTGAGTTATGGTGGTGTAGAAATATTGTTTATATAATAAACAGAACAATACATGTGTGCTTGGAAATACCAGATTTATTTCTCGTGTTAAACATGATATCTCACTCGTTCGCTGCGCTCACTCGTAAGATATCATGTTCAACACTCGAAATAAATCTGGTATTTCCGCGCACCCATGTATTATTCTCTATATATTATACCTCACAATGAGCTTGTCCAATCAGAGAACTAAATTTGTACCACATGACCATGGTATTTTTCAGCGAATACTATGACCTACGCAATTTGAACCCTGGGTGTTTTACCCGGGGCCATGGTATTCGACTTCGAATACCACGCTTGAGCGGGAAATTCGACTTTTTTAAATGTAAAGTTATCAAAAGTTGTGTTTTGAAATTAAAAGTTAATTGAATGGTATTTGTTTTCTACTTATTTTTGAAAGGTTCGGTATAATGTACCATTTATAGACCTTATGTTAGACCTCGTGTTAAACATGATATCTCACTCGTTCGCTGCGCTCACTCGTGAGATATCATGTTCAACACTCGAAATAAATCTGGTATTTCCGCGCAACCATGTATTATTCTCTATTTATTCACCTCAGGCTCGGTAATTATCGTGAACAAAAACTTCGACTTTGTCTCGGTTTTTATTCACTGATAATCATCTCGCCTTCAGCGAATAATTGTTAAATATAATTAAATTGCGATGTTTAGACGTAAAAATGCATAACCTGTATAAGCCAACGGGCAGAAAATTTTTACCAATGCTATTTCAACAACTTACTATCAGGATACGTTTGCACAGTTTGTTCTCAGTTTGTTGAGAGATTGTTTACTTAACAGATTTGTCACAGCTTGTTCCGATAACTTGTTATCGTACAGCAATTCTACAGGTTGTGAGCAATGTGAGTGACTACATTGACTGATGCAATGACAACATTGTTACAACTTGTAAAGTTTGCTACAAGCCTGTTCTGAACAAATTTTGTTCCCAATAAGTGAGCTTTTTCTTGTGTATAGCGTATTTTTCTGTGGACCGCGTGCACGGGTATGCGAACGAATGTGCAGTACCTAATCTCATGTTTTGCTTTGTTTCCTGTTTCCTTCAGCTTCCTGGTGAAAAATACCTTATTTCATCTTTGTATAAAAAAGGTATGATCTGCAGAAACGGATAATCCATATGTATAGGCCTATATGGGGGTTTCACCACATTTTTTGACGTATAGCTACCTCCAAGGAACATTTTACAGACGACTTGAACTGAAAAAAACAAACCATGCTTGGTCACTAAGAACGATCCATTGCAACACTTTTTAACACAGTCTAGACTTTTGCAAATAGAAAAAGAAAAAGGGCCTTCGGTCGAAACGTCGAGTTTCTGCTTATTTTTTAAGGTAGTAATATATAACCACTCAGCACAGCATTTTCACATTGATTCTACCCACACTGGTACAGACAATTTTAGTATATATATCAGTTAATTTATCACGGAATCAACTGAATCAGTTGCATGGTTATCACTAGATAAGTTGGTTATCACTGCACACCAAAATTATGCATGACATAATCTGGAGCACTTTAATTGTAGTATAGGAAATGGGACTATACAGATGGTCTTTCTACGACAAATATTTTTTTATATTTAAAATTCACTTGTAAAAAGTTAATACATTTCGCAAAGGTTATACAAAACTTAATTGAGCCGTCTTTTTTTTAAGATTACATATGACAAATTTCAGCTATTTAGGCCCTTTAACACTTCTTGTTCACTTTTCTTAATCTAATGGATGTGAACGAGTATGAGAAGTTACAGATGTGCTGAGTATGTGTGCCCTCATCTGAACATTTATAACTCCTCCACTCGTTCACATCAAATCATCAATCAGAAGAAGAACGTCCATCCAAAATCGCAGCAAAAATTGCTAATATAAATGGGCCTTTACTTTCCCTAATACCTTCTTAATTAATGCACTCCGCATATATTTCCCCAAAAAATACTCTAAAATTAACCGATATATAAAAAAACTCGAAAGTGCAAGTTCCTTCAATTCATTATCAATTTCATTTCATACTTTTGCTCCAAATTTGGCTTAGATAATGAGGAACATTTCATTTCTTTTAAGATTTTCTTCAGTTAGAATGTGCAACGCCGCAGTATCCACTCAAGACACTAAGGGAAGTGCGGCCCAAGTCAGCGAAGGTAAAAATAGAATTAGATTGACGTTAAATTGACGTTTTGATCGATTCAGATTCAATGATCTTCTTTAAAAATTGTTGCTGAGCGCATGCAGCGAAAGTATAGCACACTATTCTTTACGCTGATAACATTTCTCTGGAGTTCACTTGGTCCAGTCTTTCGTGCGACCTATATATTATTAATATTGTTCAGATTTCGACTTTGCGTCGGTCGGTCGGTCGGTATGTTTAGTTTGGGCTGCAACTTAATTTCAATTAGCAAACGTAATAAACGAACATACACTCCAATTAACAAACGTAATATACGGAAAATCTTTCAACAAAAGATTGATTGCATTCTTACATTTAAAAATACGTCGTGTAAAATGTTTTATATTTCATTATGCTCAAGATTTTGTATTGCCCACGCATGTTTGTATGTCTTGCATTAAATATTTCAATTTGCAAACGCAGTAAACAAACGTCCACTCCAATTAGGAAATTATACGTAATAATATAAATCGGAAAATATATATACAAAAAATGTAAGGCGCGTGTGTGTAATGTTTTTATCCAGGTCGCGTCATCTAAATTCGGTTTTGCACTTCTACCGTTCGTATCGTATCGTATCGTATCGTAACGTAACGTAACGTAACGTATCGTAGCATTTTCTTTTGTGTCTAAGTCATTAGTTACACTCTATAGCGCTCAGGAAACAACGAAATACACTACGCTACAGTACGATACGGTTCAAGTGTTCAAAAAATCATAAACTCAAGGCCACGAGCGTTTAAGCACTCATTCCAATCACTATGCGCCAGAGAAGAGCAGTGCTCTTTCATGCATAATTTTATAGCCCAATGGTTGCGCAGTTGTTTTGTCGATCTGATCGTCAAGTTTGAGGCATGCAGCACTTTCCTTGCGATAGTAACTCCTAGTTTTTGAAACTTTCATAGGTTTTAAATCAAACCTCAGACATGATGTGTCCTGTTTCAACTGAACAATCTGACTTTGTTTATCGTCAAAAAGAAGCCGATGATTTTTTAAAGGTATGAGCCTTCAAAACCGCTAAAAAACTCTCTTCAGCATTATATCCATAAAAAAACATATGTATGAATATTTTATTTAATATTTCCTTTCAGAAACGTAGTCTGGAGTACAAGAAAAATCAGGTAATCAAATTATAGTTGTGAAATAAACTATGCAGGTATCATCGAATGCAGACATCATGGGCATGGGCAATATTTAAAAAAACTGTTAATCTTTGAAAATGCGATATCATTGTAGAATGAACATTTATATCTTTTACATTAGGAAAAAGACAAAATTTGTTCTGTCGTATTAGGTGACGCCGACAACGATAGTACGAAACATATTAAACCAGTGTCAAGTAGGTCTTCTTTCGAAATTCGTGGTATCCACCGCAAGATTTTAAAATTTTGATCTTGCCATGTTTTATCATGTGCGATTTATATATTTTTTTCACATTCTTAACAATAGGTAATATATGTGTTTCAAATTTCAGTGAGTGTAAAGGATTATCAGCTACCGCCAATAGAATTACTTCGTCAACGCAAGATTTATCGTAGACCCACCCCAGAGTACAACTATATAATGCTGGACAAAAGTTCACCAGACAAATGTCAGAAAACCACAGATACTCCCGAGGTAAGGCGAATACCGTAACTCAAGTAAAGAATGCCGGACTGCTGGTGATATAGGAATAAAATATTCCGCTTTCAGAGAATAAATTATACGGCTCGTGCAAATTGGAAAATGTTGAAACAATATACCACTTTTAATCCTGATATTTACCCGACACCATCAGATAATTGCCAAAACTTATACTTCTTGTAATATACATTTTACCAACCGATCCCGATTTAACCGTCGGACATCGGACATTATAGAGGTACGAATGTTTGTTCAACTTTTAACATTTTTACAATAAAAATAAGATTTACTATGCTTGTAAATGTTACTTGGATACTGGTTTAATTGCATATACTTATTATGACAATAAAACGAAAAGACTTACAATGCCCGGCAAAGGTATTTTTTCTTCAAGTCAATCTCTAAATATGCTGTATACTTACAAAAGGTGAACTATTTGACATTACGCAATTGCAATGCCGTTGTTTTCTATGTGTTTTAATCGATGTCCACTTGATGTCCTTGATATCCTAGTAATTTTATCGAAATCAAAATGTGAAAAAAGTCGAATATTTTGTACAGCTAATTTGATAAAATGTCCCACGGATTAATAAAACTATGTCGGACATTTTGCCGGGAGAATCTTTCAGTATAATCAAATTTAATGCATTCTTCTCATATCTGATGGAGGTGATATAAAGTTATAATAAAAGAACACCTGTAGTCCAGCATACTGGAATACATGCAGTTTCATGTGAGTTCATGGCAACCAGGAAAAACATCAGTCATGTTTTCGCTCCTTACTTGTTAAAAGAAATTATTGCGAAGCCCAGTTAGATTGCATTCACGACCATACAGTAGAAGACACTATAGACTGGAATTTTAAAACGTTTGGTCGAGTGAATGCAATTTGATTCGTCTTTGTATTCTGTCATAGTAGTGTCTAAATTACTTTGAATTTGTACTGGAGTAAAAGTAGAAGTAATTAATAATAAATCTACTTGAGTAAAAGAGTAAAAAGTACTGGAGGCAAAACGTAATTAACGTACTTGAAGGAACGGGTAAAAGTACTAAAAAGCCTTCCCCAATGGATTGACATACCAAAGACACACATTATATGCGTGCACCTAATATACAATATTTCCCGGCATTGTCTACTTTCCAGACCCCGTTGAAGATATAAGAAATCCATTAAATAATTAATGCTTATAAGTGAGCCACAAATGAGCTAGGGATCCTAGACGCATGTAGAGGTCCTATTACCTATCCCAAAATAAAAATAAATCAGGAATAAACCACGTAAAATGAAACCAAAGTTAGAAAGTAACGAAATACTTTGCCAGAAATTGAAAATAACAAAGTAATAAGCGATATTTCTTAAAACGACTTCGTTCCAAGTAAAAGTACTCCGGAAAAAGTTTATTTGTTACACGCTGACTTCTCAAAAAAAGCACTCAATGCAAGTATAGCAACGAATTGAAGTAAATTTACTTCGTTACTTGACACCACTACATTCATTTATTATACACTGCTATGTATTAATTAATTAATTAACATATTCATATATCAATGTCTATTCTTATGTTTGTGTTCAGACATTATCCTCACGTAGTGCGGAGACGAAAGCGCAATTAGCAGCTCAAAAGCAAGAGAAGAGACCAAGGGATGATCATCGAACTCATTTCACATTTGGGAGTGACATACAACGTTACCCTAACAGTGAACAGGTAAAACTCAACCAACGTGTTTACTGGATTTCGTCCTATATAGGATTGTAATTTGCAACAATTGGTGTCAAATTTTTAAAACACGACATATAGTACTACAGTGCGGTGCTGCCTGGAGCGTGCGCAAAACAAGTGACACAAGCGCCAAGATATACTGTTTTTGAACAAATACTAAGGCTTGTGATTCTGAACAAACTAACAAACTGACAGACTAACAAACTCACGTCGCAAATATGAAGGGATGACTAACTTTCTTCGGGCACCCCGCTTTTTTATGCAGGGTGTCCTAAAAATGCCGCGAACGATGCACGAAAAATGGTTGGTTATTTTGTCCTGTCAAACATCAGTAAATTAAGCCAGTAACACGTACGAATATTATCGATTTAGCATGATCAGTTTGTGGGAAAGGCACCGATGGACCCAGCTTATCCTTCAGCTGGCAAAAGTAGCAAGAGGGAAGATAATTGCCAGGTTTGTATATATGATTTACGTAGACTTAAAAATTTAAGAAAAGTTCTTATAGTATTTATGCTTACTGAACCTAAGCATATAAATAGTGTGATGGACAGTATATGCATTCTCCAACATTTTCATTGTAACACGAAAACATTGCGAGTTTTTCGCCTCGATCCATAAATGAAGTTTTTGACCAATGCTAGAACGAACTTTGATACTTGATGCAATCTAGTAGGTTTTTTAGCCATCTTTCTCGATTTAACTAATATTGAAGGGTTTTAAAATACAAGAAAAAACATACTCCGAAGAATAACATCTTGTAAACTCAAGATATGAGCTATAACACAAGACAACAATTCGTGGTCTTTTCTTAAGTATCATTGTATGTCAATAGTGTAATACTTCTAATACGTCATCTCTTCCTGTTTCTTTGTATTTAGTATGATAGCAAGTTTGTAAATAGCTTATTATGGTTTGACAATGACTTTGAAATTGAGTCGAAATATCACCGCAAAATTGTTGTCTTGTGTTATAGCTCATATCTTAAGTTTACAAGATGTTATTCTTCGGAGTATGGTTTTTCTTGTATTTCATTAACTTGTCTGCCGGTAATGGTTTTTTTGGGTTTTTTTTAAGGGTTTTCCAGATGGAAATTTCGAGTGTAACTTTTATACGTTTATTTAGACGTAACCATGCAGCTTCAACTATAGGCAGTCTGGCAGGAATCAACTAACCTGCGGTTAGAGCTCGACAACTGGACTCTGTAGCTCAGTTGGTTAGAGCGTTGCACCGGAATTGCAGGGCCACAGGTTAGATTCCTGTCATAGAGCATATACAGTAGTTGCATTTTTTGCAGCTGCTCCTGGTTAGGTCTAAATAAATGTATAAAATGTGATTTTAATAGATTTCGATATAATTACTTCATGAATACTTCCTTTGTCTGGAAGCCTCGCTCTCATACACGCGCCTCGCTTGCGATTCACGAGAATGCGACTCTATACCCAAGAAGAGATTTATGACATTGAAAAGTTATATTATTAATATATGACTCTTTATGATTTAGGGACGATGCTTCCGCAACTCCACTTCCGCAATTGTCAGTGATGAAAGCTGATTATCAGTCAACATCGAAGTGAGATATGGACATGTCTCCTATGTTTTTTTCTGTTGCCATCTTCCAAGTCCGTTCTATATTCTGGTGCATATAATTGGCCTTTTCATCAGTCTTTGCAATCCAGTCAAGATTCGATAATCGGAATGTTTTACTGTTTTGATCACATTAACTGATGGCAAACAGCCTTTCAGCCAGAATGCCAAAATTAGTCGTCCAAAAATATTGCGGACCTCTTTCCGAAAACATGGATCCATTATTATGTAGCGTGAATTCAGCAAGAAAAAGTATTAAAATGCATACAATTGCTAAAGTACGCAATGGCAGACAAGGTTTGAAGTGTTCAAAAAATATCACAAAGATGATTATAAAATGCTACTATAGAAAATTTTTGCGTAGGACATCCATGGCAGCCTATTATAAAGTTGACCTTCAAGTATTTTTGTTTTTCCAGCACTATTTCTCTATGTTATTTGTTAATATTGTAGTATTCTGTATTAGTTGTTATCAGTTTTTATGATGAACAATTCGGACACATTGAAATCAGTTTTGTTGACAGGGCTAACGTACATCCAGTAGCGTAGCCAGCCCGACGATTAAAAATATTTTCGTGTTCATTGACTGTGAAAACAATCAATTTCTAAAGAAATGAATAATGACACTGCAATTTTAGAAAATGCTTGGACTCAAAAAGATTTATTATAACATTTTGATGTTCAAACGTGCATGGTTCGACCGCAAAACTTTAACGTTTCCATGGGTTACGTCGCATGTTTACATTTAAGATTTCCAACGTTTTGACCAATTACATCGCAAGGCGTTGTCCGTAAAGGTAATAAAGGCAGCGCTAAAATTCATAGATATCTTATATACACTAGATAGTGCATCTAATTATTCTGCAATTCAAAAATTGAAGCCGTGATTGCAGTCTCAGGCCGTTCCCATGAAATGAGAGAAGATTCGTATATTTCCTATAAGGAACTTAAATATTAAGTTAACCCTATTCCAAATACATTTTTAAAGTAGGCCTTTTCAAATGATGTAAGTTATTGTTCTTTTTAAGTATTTATTAGCGAGTGGGAACGACCAGCATGGCAGCCATCTATTTAAATGGAGGTATAACCGCTGCAATATTCTTGGCTTCAGTTTTACTAAAAGCGATGCGCTATCTATATAGCGTATACAAGATATCTATGCTAAAATTAGACGGAATTAAGCAGTATCACAAATACATGGATGCAAGTAGTGTATACCAGATTAAGGTAGAATATTCGCAAGATAAATACATAAGCTTCTTTGTTAATACTGCCTATGTGTTTTGCGGTGGTTATAAATTCAGTTTTATTCAGTTATATTACAATATCGTTTCTGATTCACCAATATCATAGCCAAATATAAACGGCCTAAAAATCTGTTACTGCATGGCATACTTTTTAAAATTCAAATTGTTATTAACATTTAATAGGCGTGGCTAATCAGAGCCTTGCGATATGATTGGCCAAAACGTTGGAAATCTTAAATGTAAACATGCGACGTAACCCATGGAAACGTTAAAGTTTCGCGATCGTAACATGCACGTTTGAACATCAAAATGTTATGATAAAACTTTTCGCGTCCAAGCTTTAGCGAAAATCGCAGTAATAATTTTGAATTTGCATAGAGGGACTAAATTATATTGTCGGGCTGGCTACCCCAATGTGTACATTAGCACTAGCATCAGCATCAACATTATAATCATCATCATCATCATCATCATCATCATCATCATCATCATCATCATCATAATCATAATCATCATAATCATCATGATCATGATTACCAGGCTTAATAAAGCATGTACGATCCTGATATAAATCCGGTTTTGCACTGAGCGAATTTGTTTCTGCGATGAGATTCGAAAAACAAGCTGCGGCAACGTGATTGCTTAGCGAAAAATTTGTGAAATAGCGGATCGGTTTCTATTTTTTCGCTGCAATTCTCTTCGTGAGAACAAATTCACCTGGTGGAAAACCGGCGGCTTAAACTAGACTATTTAATTTCCGGTCAGCTGGCCAAGTAAAAATTAAACATTGTATGCTTTGTTTTCAGACTTTCGTCCTCTCAACGGAGACTCGTTAACTTGAGTCTGAAATATCCAACAGTGATTGCGCCATCTCATTACTTTCACATGGATCATGAACGAGGTGAATTGATTTATGCAAATATCACACGTTATGGACCAATTTAAGTTTGGTAGCTCGTTAGTTTTAATATTCATAGATAGCCTCACGAAGCAGAAAAAGTTAGTTGTAATACTGTTTATTGGAAATTTGTTTGAAAATTTAGGCAACAAGATTTCAACTACTGCGACAGATTACGTCCCTCCTGAAATAATGACAGGTATTACAATATTGAATTGTTTCAAAATCACTTTTCTTTGAAATCCGCCAGATCCACAGATCGCCAGATTAACGCATATAAAATTCAGTTTGTGTTTATATGAGAAATGAGCCAGCCCAGCTAGGTGCATGAGATCTCGGGATAAAATTTTCCATAACTCGTCTTTAACCCACCTGACCTGGATGGACATTTTCGCCGATTTTGACCCATAAGATGGACCTAAACAGACATTATTGAAGTCGTTATAGAAGGTGCAGTTTATCTAATTACAACAAAAATATTTCGAAGACGGCATTTTTGCAAAATTCCGTCCCAGTTATATGAACAGATAACTAATTCGTCTCATTCAGGTGAGCTTGAATAGATGAAAAGATGCTTAGGAAGGATGAGACATTGAACAGCTCACCTGCTAAATATGAGAAAATTATGTTTTTTTGTTCTGAAAAGTGAATCAACTGTATTTTAAGAAAATAATAGCAAAAACACGTCATAGGGCCAATATGGAACAATTGTTCATAGTGTCGTAAATCACTAAATGAACCCCTATTTACCGAACCATTAAAAAATTTTCAATCAATATGACACCATATGATAATTATAATTAATAGGAGATAATAATATCGAACGTCGGTGTAGGTATAGCGACGATAACAAGACAGCTGCGGATACAACTACCCGATTTGCATGATGTTGCTATCATTGATGTTGCCTAAACTTTGATGTTGTTAAAGCATA